ATAAATCCGTGTTTGGCCAAACCAATTGACATCGATTTCTATTATGTTGCTGTATTTGATTCTTCTGAATTTTGTTGTCTGTATCAATGCACAACAACTGTTCTATGGACGTGGTGAATACCTTGATAACTATAGATTCAGAACTGGTAAGCGGTTAATCATCGGTTAATCATTGTAATCGTCTGCTACTTCAAACTATATCTCTCAGTTGTATTCATTGAAAGAGAAAGAAAGAAAAAAAAAAAACAGAAGGGTCTTGGCGTCAAACATTTTCTGCGAAATGTGATAAACAAAAAACAAAAAATTGATACAACGAAAAAAGTAATAAATAAATTTTAATTGAACAGATTGCAGACAAAAAAAATATTGTTGATTTTATTTTACTTCTTTTTCACTCTCCTGCAGATAATCCGTTGCGTGCTTCTAGAAAACCACCTAAAAGTTGTTGCCAAAAAGTAAAACATTAAACTTTTGTGCAAATAGATCAGACTGCCGTTTGCAGGTATTCCAGCCGGATACAGAAATCCGTCTGGTTATCCGATACAATTTTACTCGCAACCAGTTGGACTACCAATACCAATATCATATACACGTCCTTTATCAGGTTTTTATAAACAACATTATTTATCACCACTTTATTAAGATATTATTAAATGCTAAAAAAATATGTTTTTTTTTTATGCATTGTTAAATTTCAAGAAATCTTTTTCTAAAAAACTAATTTAAGGTTCTATGCAAATAGCTAGACTTGTATATCCTGTCTTAAATAAAGTAAAGTAAATGAAGAAATAGAACTTTTTTTTTACCTTTCTTGGCGCTTAAGAGGGCTAAAACTTGACGTCTTAAAGTGTAGACAATAAATGTCAAAATACAACAGTTAGCTGTTCGGTAGGCCACTAAATTGTCAACAGCTTGAAAATTTACTGTAAATTGGTCAGTTTCTTTCTCTCCTAAAAAGAAAATTTGTCAAATTAATTCAAAAGTATTAAATATTGGTTGATATATTTGACACGCTTGTAAAAAAATGCTTTTAGTTACAATGCTGTGAGAAGGTAGCTTTGATTTTGAGAAATCTTATTCAATTTGGCTAACATTGCAGTTTTATAACAACACTTTTAAAAGACTCTAAATAAAGAGATTTATTTGTTCAATGAACTCATTGAAGTATTTACCTGCTTTCTAATGTTAAAAGACTGAAAAAAATTTCACTTTTGTTCAATTCACTGTTGACTATTTGCCAAAACATCAAACAGTTTATTTTGTCTTTAAAGTACAAAAATAAACATTGTACAAAAATGAACTCAAGGAAAAGTCAAGAAAAAAAGTTAATAATCAGAATGAAGATTAAACATTAAACGAGGATTCTAAAGATTTTTTCCTTTTTTTTTTCTTCATCTTAAAAACGTATAAAGATTTTTACGCTCTTATTTATTGTCAGAGACGGTATAAAATTTCCTAAGCTTTAGTGCTGATAAAAAACTATAGCAAAAAAATTTCAAAAAATCAGTACTTTGATATTGCAGAGACCAGTATATTTTTATTATTCATTTTAGTGAGAAAAAACGAAATCAATTACTGTTACAATAATTAATCTGTCAATATCAAAAAGAAAAAAAAAACTGTTAACTAAAATTGTTAGATTTCTTTTTGACATCATTTTATTTATTTATTTTTTTTGGTTACTGTTAATTAATTATCAGTAAATAATCTGACTAAAATGATTGAATCTGAACCAAAAAAATGAATGAGTTACTTAGCCTGATCAAATAACAGACAACTTCGGCTGATGATAAATAACCAGGCAAATTTTAACACCAAATAAGTTAAAGCATCAATTGTTTTGTTGATCTTAACAGATTTTACTTCTCATAGATAAAATTATACAATGATCGATAGTTAATGTGTCTTTCTCCTTTACCAAATAAGACTTAGTTTCCACGAAGTTGCTTTTTTTTTGCTGCAACTGACTCGTATTAATTTATATAACTTCTATTACTGCTGTCGTTTAAATGGTAAGAAAACTGTTAGCAAAAAAAAAAAAAAAAAGAACAGTAAATAATTTAAAAAATTATTTTTTTAATAAACTGTATGTTTTAAAAACAACTTTTTTTTTTCTTTGCATTACTAAAACTAATCTTATATTACACATTTATGTACTGATAATAAAAAAACAGCTTTTTTTTTTT